ATTGTGCTGAGTTTGATTCCCATTTTGTCAGTGTGTTTCAGTTATAGAGCTAAATTCACAAGAGCTATACCGGTATTGAGGAATCGTACATGTAAATACAGAAGAGTATTGAGTATCCAGACAAGAGGATCGGAGTGTGCGATGGAGGCGCGATAGCTCAGTCGGTAGAGCAGTGGTCTTGTAAGCCCGGGTTCGAAACCAAGGCGATGCGCTAGTGCCCTTTGGTAAGGCATTAATCCTCATTACCAGGTCCCTCGGAGAGGACCTAAAGCCGTCGGCCGTCTGGTTGCTTACTTACAAGCATTTATGCTTTCTTAGCATTGAGGTAAAATAACCACCACCACCACCATATAGAAACACATTGCGTTTAAATATATAAAAACAAAGAATGTACAGTGTGTATTGATGAAATAGTATGATTTATATAAAAGAATCATTCGAACGAAGACAAAGAAGACAGAAATTCCTTTAAAGGTAATACACAGTTTTGGGAAATTTGAAAATTGGATGGATAGTGATTCTTTACAATTTTGATATATTTGGATGCCCCTGTGGATGTATTACAAGCACTAGAAAATTTAGCCCCTAAAACACTTCTGCTTTCGAGAAAAATTGAATATAAAAATTTACCAGGGCTCCCGGTAAATTTTGATAAATTTCAAATAGCACCTACGGCCGTACAATAGTGAGCTGCAACCATTACAATCTCTGAACATGTAGTTGTGATATAGAGTTTCCGAACGGGAATAGCTAGTGGGTCGATTTTAGTCAATAAACATTGTTTTATAGCTGAATTAATATCTTGACCTTCAGAGGGGGCTATACAGCATAAAGACTTAATTATTTATAATTTCATAACTTTAGACTCGATTTCAACCGCGACAACGATCACTGAATATTGTAGGATCGCATATGCTTCCAATATGTTCATTTGAACGAAATTCATGACCCCATACCAAAACTTTGCATTACCTTTAAGATAATAGGAATAGGAATGACTTATTTGCTTTGTATACAGGTGATCGAAATGTTTAGATTATCGGCCTGGTTATTTTTAATTATCGTAGGTGTTTGATGTCTCTACGCCAAAGTAATTTAATTTGTTGTTTTGATAGTAATTTCTATATTAATTGCTGAAATAAGAAGGTTTCTTTATCAAAGGTTGTTATCGATGAATTACATGTCAAAGAATTTACTTTGAAATGATGGGTTTCTTGTAGTAGCTCTGCTATTCTGTCAACTCCTGCACATTTCACGGTTTGTTCTTTTCTTGTCTGTGTAAAATCCTTTAACATGATAATAGTTGTGAAACATATTTGGTGATATAGAATTGTGTGGTCTGATTGATTAGTCTTTGATGTATGTTTTGTTATCTGTATTGAATCTGTGTATGAAATATGAAACCAATAAACTCAAACTCAAAGTCGAACAAAAATATAGGGCATGATTTTACTTGCACGTCACTATTTCATTATATAATGCAATTTCCGTTGTTGTCAACACCATCACCTGTTGTCACAACACATCCCATCCAAGTTTAGCTGAGAGAAGCTGTTTCAGGGATTACCTCATCAAGGTTCACGAGTGATAATAGCGACTTTTAGATTTGCGTGGACTGATACGTGTGACGTCCATTCAAGGCAGTGCATTAAAAGGACGTCGATCGTAGCAATCCACATTGTCTTCGTGCGAATCTAAAAGTCCCTATTGTGATAGGATATGGGTACATGGTTATGGCGCGCTATTTGACCGATAACCCCGATAAACACTGTTTATCGCCGAAAAACAATGTTTATCGAGCGAAAAAACATTGTTTATCGAGCGATAAACATTGTTTATCGTGAGAAACTCTGTATATCGACTGATAAACACAGTTTCTCTCGATAAACACTGTTTATCGACAATAAACACTGTTTTTTGGTGATAAACATAGTTTATCGCTCGCTATTTGCTAAATAATTCAGATAACAATAAACAATGTTAATCAACGATAAACAGTGTTTTTCGGCGATATACAAGGTTAATCGAAAAACACAGTTATTCGTATTTCGTCAGCAGTGGGCGCGTTTTATAAGTTGCACCCAGCTCAGAGCACTGCTCCGCACGTGCGCTTTACACCGTAGAATATACTAACACTTGATCGCGCTCATGACCACGATCGACATTTTCTGAGTGGAGGTATGGCGTAGTATTCTTAATTCCAGGGTTTTTCCCAATTTTTGGAATGTTATGTTTATATATCTCTCTCTAGCTCTCTCTCTCTCTCTCTTTCAAACTTTCTAGGCTTTCCTCTTCTCTTATCTCTCTCACTCTCTATCTCTCCCTCACTCTCCCCCTTTTTTTCTCTCACTCTCTCTTTCTTCTACCCTCTCAATATAACCCTTCTGTCTTTCCTTCTCTTTCTTCTAATTCTCTCTTTCCCTTTCTCTTTCCTTTTTCTTTCTCTGCACTCCCTCTCTGCCTCCTCCCCTTTTATCTATTACCCCCGATATGAGAAATAGGGTAGAGATATATGGTTGGAGAGAGAGGAGAGATAGAGAGATAGAGAGATAGAGCAGGGGAAAAGGAGAGATAGATCTATGTTTATCAGTCAATAAACATAGTTTCTCTCGATGAACAATGTTTATCGCCGAAAAACAGTGTTTATCGAGAGAAACTGTGTTTATCAGTCGATATACAGAGTTTCTCACGATAAACATTGTTTATCGGGGTTATTGGTCAAATGGTACGCCATACATGGTTGCAATGAATTTCTGCAGCGTGGTTATATTTAGGTCATTACATGCTCTGATTCTCGGCTGGTGTAAGTAGGGCATGTAATAGTAGTCGGCCAAGAGAAAAGTCCATGTATTAAAGTTGTTTTTTTAGATCTCACCTCGATGGGTGGTGTGAATCAAATGTTATCATCATAAAAAGTTAAATTTTCAGAAAGACTAGTTGTGAAGAAGACTTGTATAATGTTGAATTTCATTACTTTTAATAGAAAGCTAAATTGGTTCAAGGACAACATGGTTGATTACCTAAGGCGAAATATTTTCAAGAAAATTTAGATATAGGTGCATATTTGCAACTTCATATTATCTTCGTAAAGTATATAGTTGAGTATTGGAAGGAAAAAAAAGGTATGCTCATTTGGAGTGTCTGCTTGGGACATATGATTTATTTTATTAATTGAAATCACTCAAACACTAAGATGAATCGGAAGCTAGTTAGTTTCATAGTTCATAGAGATTAATTCTTCTCAGTTGTATATGACGTGGTCTTATGAATATTTAAATAAATTTCCAGCAAGTTTTCTATTTTGTTGTGTGTGTTGAGGAATGTTCTGCATGATACACTTTTCGAAAAGCAAGCATTCAACCCTACTTTCTTTCGCAATATACCAGAACTCACAATCACCATCCGTTATCATCAAGACACACGACAGCTACTTCACTTTATGAAGTACATCATAACTATGATTCTAAGTTTACAGACAAATTAGTAACATATGGTAAATGTAAATTCAGTGTCTAGGGAAGCTAATGAAAATTGTTTAAAGGGGACGGGGCTGCTCCATTCTTTGGGGAAAAAACATGCAATTCTTTATGTCAGCTTTCAGCTAGGAAAAGTGCCTAAAACGTGACACACTAAAATGCCAGTTTAACCTTGCCAAAGGTGAGAAGTTAGCAAATAAGTATGTGTGTGTGGGTATGTGTCCGCGTGTGTGTGCGTATCTTTGTGTTTAGGGCTATTTGTGTGAGACATTGCAGTTTTCAAAATTTACTTTTTTTTTCCGGCACCCCTATTCACGGTTAAAGGTACAGACCAGTTTTGGAAACGCCCCCCTCTCAAAAAATGAAATGGAAGCTCTTATTACTAATCATGTAAAAGAATATGTTTTGACAATGACTAATACGTGATGATAAAAATTTTGCCGAGAAACCGCCTAATTGATATAATTGGTAAATTATCATATCTATTTGGACCTGATAGATATCGCGCACGGGTCGCGTAGTCCCATATTTCTGTGTACAGTGCTTGTAACTTTACCAAGACTGGGCCAAATTTCTTATCATTTTGATGATTCCAGAACCTTGCAGTACACACCAATACTTATATGCTAAATAATCAACCATTTTTGATCGATTCCACCACGTTTCTTTCACAATGCAATCGCATGACCATAACTGGCCTTTATACGCGTGACGGTTTTCCATTCAAGCAGTTGTGTTGAACGCATCAATAGGTGACGTACACGTCTATTGTATAAGTCTTTGCTATCATGTAATTATAAATAAAGTACAGATAGATAATAATGATAATAAACTAATAATATACAAATAAACTTGAGTTCTGGTAAAAAAAGAAAATGAATTCTCACAGAATCTAACGAAACTTACACTGAATGTTCAAGATTACAAATAAATGTCATGTGCCAAACAATTTTGGAAGAAAATGTATACTGGCTGAGTAATGAGCATAGAAAGATAAGGACATCGGGGTAGTACTGGCAGTACTGGTAGTACTGTGTTGTCCCATATACATCTATCTGTGTAAGTGATTGTTACTTTACCAAGACTCTGCCAAATTTATGATGATTTCGATGACTCTAGAACCTTGCATTACACACCATTACTTACATGATATATGATCAACTTTTTTGATTCATTCCACATCTTTTCTTTCACAATGCAATCGCATTACCAGTACTCAAGTTTATCTTTAAGATTTGAAAAGAAAAAAAAAATCAATTCAAAAAAAAAAAAATTCACATTTTTTTTCAACTCCCAAATAGTACCTCCCAAATAGTACTCTCATATAGTACTTTTTAAAAATAGTTCAAATATTTCTGGTCATGTGACGAGCTCTCAACCAATCAAAAGCCAACAAATTTTTGATGCAGGATATAATGACATATAATCAGAAAATAAGAAAGACACATGTATCAACTCAATGCCTTTGAGTGTATCAGTCATTACGCATGTGAGGACAACAGAGAATAATAGACCAAACAATAATCTTCTTGCAATGAATATATAATGTTTTAATGAAAGAATTGTTAAATACAGGGGGTTGGAGAGTTTGCTCAGTTACATAAGCATGTACGTTTGAGATGAACCTCTACAAATACAAATTAAAGAATGGTATCATCTATATAGCAAAAATATCACCACGATAAAACCGTGTTTATAAAACTGTATTTTAGATGAAGGTTAAACAAAACAGAAAGAAATGGCAAAAAAAAAGGAGGAGAGCGGGGGAGAGACAGAAAAAACGGGGAGGTTTAGGAGAGCTTGTTAGCGATTTTTGAGACATGTGCTCCCCACCCCATATGGCTTGAGAATACTGAGTAATAGTTTTCTTTCTCACTCTCTATCTCTCTCTTAATAAAGGCTCGTTCAGATATGAAACGGTAAAACATAGAAGAACATTTTTTTTTAAATGCTGCGCGTTTTTACTGAGCTACGTGTAATGAGATACAGAAAAGTGACGCTTATTACATTTTACGTCATCATAAAGACCACCTGGTTTTGCCGCGTCATTTCTGAACGAGGCCTAATGAAGATGGTTTCTCTTCAAAGGAATTAAGTTTTGGGTTAAAGCAGTTAGCACAGTGGTAAGAAACCTAGGTTAGTAGAATTTAGACAATCCATCATTTTGGGGGTATAGACTCGGGGACGGCCCTGGAATACCACTTCTCTCAAAATGTGTCGAATCTTTATTCGCAGTGGTATCACTGTCATTGGCATCGTGTGCGGGACATGTTAATTCGAAATTTTGCGTAAAATGGGTATTTGCGAGAATGTTCGCGGATTTGAAAAAAAGAAAGGGATTTTCGTTTAAGAGCATAAAATTTGATGAAAAGGGGGTGATGTCTGGTCGCAATAATGTGAATGCATCTTTTTATGACTGTGTACTCGATAAGTTTAACATAATTATTTCATCTAGAGCCTAATATTTGTACCACCTCTTTGTTCAATAGGGATCATGTTTTCTATATTGTTGAGGAATTTTTTTTGAAAGTATGCAAAAATAAGGGGAAATTTTCAAATTGGCTGTAACGATCACGCGTCACACCTTTCAATATGAAGTGACACCACAAGTAGTCTCGGCTCGTCCAAACCCAACCGTGAATAAATAAACGGCCGAGCGAACGTGCAGGAAAAACGCTCTATGTTATATCTTAGCTCCCGGTCCGCCCCAAGTTCAGTGTGTCCGCTGCCTTATATCATCTATTTGTCCTCGAGATAGACCAGTAGATCAACTAGAGCCTCGAGGACAGCTTTCTTCTTCAAGTCAGAATCCATTTTGTCATTGGATCGTTCTTCAGCAGCCACCTGTGTGTAAGAAAATAAAACACGAGGATGACGATGATGATGAAAAAGATGATGATGATGATGAAAAAGATGATGATACTCTGCCAGCGTGAGCAAAGCACACTAAGAGGTTACGCTTCAACATCTTTGTGAGGGTCTTTGGCACCGTGCAAGCTCAATCAGCGAACTCACTAGCAGTCGAATATAACACATAACCATATGTACCATATGTACGAAGTACTTACATGACTTGTAAAATGGGACCAATGGGACCATTAACAAAACGACGCCGTCAAATTCAAAATACTGCAATCAATTATTCACACATATATTGTTTTTCTATTTATCATCTTCTCTGACCTGACCTGATACAGGACAGCTTGATAGTAGTTGCGATTTCGCATTGGACAAATTTGAATCAGTGTAAATATGTAAACACCAACGAGAAGTTGGCGTTTAGGATCTATGTAGCTGTATTGTAACTGAAGGACAGGACAGAACCGATGGTCCAGGTCTATCCAGGGACATGGGCTGACGATCAGACAATTAAGTCGTTGTCAGGATACTCAAGAAGCAAGAGAAACCCACATAAAAGACATAGCTAAGGATTTACATTTATCATTGAATCGTATTAATCTTGGGTTTAAGATTCATGTCCAATAATACCCTATTCATAATATTTCTGCCACGGGTGACTATAGCGTCTTTGTTGTCTGAATCGCCTTGTAATAAGTCTGGGATAATGGAACGAATGTGGGTCAGGCCGTATGCATATAATTCTTTGGTCTTATATCCTCTTAAAAGTTACATAATGCCTCGTGCTTTCAACAGTGCTTCATTGTTCAAAATGCGGCGATTAGCTTAGGCTTTCACAGAGCCTTGTTTCGATCTAAAGGATAACCTTAAATGATTTAGGAAAGCCTACTAACTTCCTGTCTCATGATATTTAAGTTCTCTCTGCTCATTTTCCGTTGCGGCAGTTCACACGCATAAGGAGCATAACGTTTTGATCTCGAATAGCGAATGAAAAGTCATAGGTTACTACCAAACCCAATTGTAAGAAAAAACACATATACGACGATAAGTATCAACGAAACTGACAGTAAACTTTCATTACAAAGATAACATACTAAATAAACTTTATCTATTATGTTTTCACCCAATTAAAAGGGTTACCTTAAACAAGGGTTGCGAATAAAGTCAAGATTGTAATCATCATAGTGAAGTAATTATCATGGATTTAGCTTGTAATTGGCATTTGCTTCAGTTTAAGGTGGTATTAACACCTTTTCCTTTCAACTGCATTATAGCATGGACCTATGCTTATAGTCAGTGAATGTCGATGCAAATAAATGAGCAATTGTTTTGGAATGAGATAACACACACATAATGGCTTTTGACCCACATTAACTTGGTACAGGAAGATTTTGACAATACTTTTTTTGTTTAAGTCTGCTGCTCAGTTATCCGTGGCAGCATAGAGTATCATTAGACAGCGTATTTGTTATTACCCCTTACCATTAAATATAATTCAATGCCAAATAGGTTACAACTTTTGAATTAGAAGCCACCACAATTGATCACTGCACGTACTGTATATATATAAACATACACACACAACATGGTGCATTTACTGCATGCAGTTGAAAGCAAAACATCATTATTGTTCACATCCATTCTTATCTGTCTTTGAAGATGATCCTTACCTTTTCTTCTTCTGTCATGTCTCCTTTTTCATAAAACTCCAAATCTTCCATTTTCCTTTTCTTATCTGATGAAATATTTACAGAAAAAGGGAGATTAAAAAACGTTTTCAATTCATTCCTGTTGCATTATTTATACTTAAAACAAGATTCTATTCTCTCATCGAATATGCATAACGCCTGCGTCTAAATGAGAACTACTTTCCGTCAATAGTGATCAGATGGTAATTTTTGTTTTACCTAAGTCTTTTTTGTACTCATCAATAACTTCTACATACCGTTTAGCAATCACTGTACTAATACATATGCTTAAAATGTCTAGCCAGGCAATCTCAGCTTTGATGACAATAACAATAATTCTAGAATTGAAATTTAAAATTCACATTATCGCAAGGTTAAAGAGAAAAAAACGATAAACAAAACACTATGTAAAAAACAACAACATATTGAAAAGTTGCAAAAACAAACAAATACGAACGTACCTCCTAATATTTATCCGAAAAAATTTATCAAATGTGTTAGTTGAAATATGATTTACATTTTATAATACTTTTGTTTTCATGAAAGGCAGTTATCAGATAGAACATATAATGGCTGTATTTTTCATTTTTTGTTGTTGTATTTGTTGAATTACAGGTAGCTAGAACGGCGAGTCGTTATTATCATTTTTTTATTGAGTGCATTAATCTCACGGCCGCATTTTTCTTCAGATAATAAATTGTTCTTGCTTGAATTTAGATAAGGTGATCGGTACACTTACCCTTTAGAATATAATGAATGCTATCAGAATAAGCTTTAAAGGAATGTTTATTTCGAGTCATATGTTAGGTGCGCAGACATAGGCAGTCAGACAAAACTTCGGAAAAGCAAACAGTAAGATACTTCGAAAATAGCAAATAACGCAAAGTAAATTAAGTGCCATCATCGTGCAATGCGTGGCAGTATTTTCCCCAGTCAACCTGCCGTTATAACGTATATTTTTTAACAAATGATGTTGTGTATACATTGATTACATTTAGGAGGGTACATTTACATGAACATATTTCAGGAAATTGGAGGCAATTGACCTACAGTCACTACAGTCAATGTAAAATCATCGTGCGGTCAGTAAATATTTTTAGAAAAATATTTACTGACCGCACGATGATTTTACATAATCTCCCTTATGCCTTTTATACGCATTGCCTCGTTGAGGGCTTCATATTCATCGTGCGATAATCGCCGTTTTTAATGTTCTCCATTTTCCCATTATAAATATTTCCTTCCAATGATCGCTTCCCGTCACCTCTTTATATATAATTCATTCCGTCTCCCATCTGTTATTATTTTCGTTTCTTAGCTGTCTGTAAATTATTTATTCACCGGGCATATCCACAACAAGCCTTGCTTTAACGTAGGCCCCTCCACTATACGCTTTAAAAATGATAAAGTGTTTAAACCTATTTGTACAAGCATTGCTTTTTAGTGGACCCCTCTGTTTCCAATATGTATTCGTTAATTTGTGTAAATAAATGTTTATAATTGATTTGTAATGTTTTGTTGAAACCAGAAATAAATTGAATTGAATTGAATTGAATTGAATTGAATTGGATTAAATTCATTATGATTTAGTTGACTTGCATGCTTTAGTATTATCATGACAATACTATTAAGACAACACCATTTGTATCGTTTGTTAGGAAAGTCTGTACAAAGAGGTTATGTTATGTCTATATGAAACATAAATACAAATATGTGGAAAATTAATGAACTTGAACTTGAACCTATTTGGCTGCAAAGGTTTACTGATTTTTTGTCTAAATGGTTGCCGTTGGGGTCCCTGTCATGAACATACCTGACTCTAGACACTGGACTTCGGCGTCTTTTTCGTGGGTGCAGGAGGAAGGAATCCCGGTAGAGCCGGCCGGACAGTCCATGATTGAGGCCTCTTCGCCCGTACAAGCAACATCGGCAAGTAGAGTCGATCCAGTTCCTGAGCCAAAGAACTTCCATACAGAATCATAGTGTAAAAAGGCCGGGTCAGTGAAGCCCAACTGCTTGCAAACGACATTGGAGTCCTCTTGCGACCATCCAATGCCACACACTGTTCCCCACTGTCCATCGAGGTAGACCTCGACTACGCCGTGTCCTAGATCGTCTTGCTTATTTACTCCTCCAAGCCGGACGACTGCATGGAAGGGATGTAATGATGACGAAGAAGGTAATGACGATAATTTTGATAATAATATTAACAACAATACTACTACCACTAAATAGTATGAAGTTATTATTAACATCGATTATTAATAACGAACCCAAACTTTCATTCCCTCGTGAAGGTACCGCACTACATTGTGAGTCAAAAAAAGTTTACACCTAGAAAATTGCTAATTATTTAAAAATCATCTATGAACAGTAAATTATTATAGATTTTATGAAAGAGTGTTTTATTCCGAATCATTTAGTATCATTTTGTGTGGTAGGCCTATGTGCTCACGCTTTGATGAACAGGAGGCATTTTTAGCGAGAGTGCAAAATTCGACTTGCGCCAAAGTTGCTTATGTGATTTTTGAATAAAACAATTGGGATAAGGGTATTAATTCGGTCTTTGCAGATCCAAATAACATCCCTAACAAAATCAATCATGCCACACATATCAAATATCAACGAACATTTGTGCGCGCATGCGTGTGTGCGTGACTTTGCTTCTGCAAAAAGCATATGCAATGCATTTCATTTGATAAATTCATTCTCTCACTCCGCTAATCCCAACATAATACATACTGTAGGCATCACTTTGGCGCAAGTTGATTTTTGCACTCTCGCAAACAATGCCTCCTGCTCATCCAAGCGTGAAAACATACCACACAAAAATGATACCAAAGGATTTGGGATAAAACACTCTTTCATAAGATGTATAATGATTTACAGTTCATAGATGATTTTTAAAATAATTAGCAATTTTCTAGGTGTAAACTTTTTTTTGACTCACACGGTATAGAACCAACTCCCCCATTTAGTGTTAGACAGGCCCAGTCTAAACAGTCGTTTGCAAATCTGTACTGGAGAAAATTACATTTTTAATATAAGAAATATCAGAGATTGTTCTTTTCAGTAATAACAAACCAAAAAAGTGTTAAAGCTTTCCCGCTTTAGTTTTCTATTACTCGATTTGAAAGGACGTATATTTTAATTGTATAAGCTGGAAAACGACTATTTTTTCGTGTTGATATCATGGTGTATAAACAAAAATGATGATAATAATCCATGATAGATATGTAAGTAATTAAAATTACAAAAGAGGACTGCAAAGCAAGATCTATACCAAGGCTGACAGATGCATCAAGACTGGCTGCGGACAGAAAAACTTTGCATACCATCACCATACAGAAGCCATCACGAGGCCCCTGGCCTGCGTGGACGGCATCGGTCAAAGTAAGTCAAAATAAAATTACTTCAATTTAATTTTTTTTTAAACCTATAATTTGTATAGGGCCTCCATGGAAAAACAGTTTTAATACTGAGGTAAGGGGGGGGGGTAAAGGCCGAAGATAATAAGCATGAGCTAATGACCTCGTTTCTTCTTTTCTTTTTTCTGTCTTTGTTGCTCTTCACATAATTTTAGAACTTGTGCCCGTCCCATCCTTTTGCAAGAGAACCCATGATCCGCTGCTAATAATATTATTGGAAAGTTCTCATGCATGAGGTTCATTCTGGCTGATTGTCAGAAGAGCTAGAGAAGAAAGACTATTTTTGTTCAACCCCCTCCCCGGTATTTCCCCTGGGAGCAGAAGGATGGGAGGGATAATTGAGTTTTCATTTATATTTTAGCCTATAACATGAGCGTATTTAACTTTTCACAATATTAAGTAGGTAAAATAAAATATTCTCACCTGCTGGTTCAGAAGTTGCACCATTATCTTGCACTGTGGAATGTGAAAAATAAATTTATCTTTTATCGTTGATTTTGATTTCGCATAATATTTACAGTTAAGCAATCAGTTTTTTTATATTAGTTTTTTAAAATTTTATTTCATTTAGTTTTCTACTCAAATATCCAACATAAAAATAACACATATACAGCATACATACAGTATTGACTGGGCTTGAGGGATATATCAGAAATATTGACCAATCTAAGATCATATTGCCCTGAGTCGAAGACAAGGGCATTATGGTCTTAGCACGGTCAATATTTCTGATGTACCCCGAAAGAAGCCCTGTCAATATAATTATTATTACCTATACAAGGCATTTTTTAAGTATCTATACGATACAAAATAAGTTTACGAAGTAGATTTAAGTTTTAGGATAAAACATTTCATATTTGCGTGATTTAACTTAGAGGAAAACAAGGGGAATTTCAGAAAAGCAAGGCTTGTTGAGCGAGGTTCCCAGTATAAATTAGATACTAAACCATCGTCAGCGTGCATCAAATCTTGCGCGTGCCTGCTCCCAGAGAGACCCACAACGTGCGAATGCACCCGCCCGCGTCAGATCCCTGGGTCTTCCCCGCCGAGGCTTATTCCGCATAGATCAGTCGGCTTGTCCGACCTAGCAACCAGCAGTATAAACTATTGCAGATTGAGGTGTCATATAAAAGGGCAGAAAATGAACTTTCTAGAAATATGATTTCTCTCTTTGAATTTTAGACACGGTTCGCCACATGACTTTTTGGTACACTTTCTTCAATCATCCATGCGTGAAATATACATCATATGAGTTGATTAAGTTATGATAAAACATCGTTAGTTCTCGGTTTCATTTTTACTGGGACGCACTGCATATATATATATATAGATATATATAACACACTTTTCCCATTGCTCATTATGTGGGTTAATTGAACGACCCATCCAGGGCGACAATTGTTCCTTGGTCCATATCCCGTACTAACCGAATGTCTAACTTCGAATCCGGACAAAACACAAAAACTTCACCCTATAAGTATAAACGTATCCATAAAACCCTTTCTCAAACCCTAACTTTCATTCTATGTCTATCAAGGCGTGGTTCTAGAAGATTTAATTTTGTTAATCTTTTGGACGGGGTGAGGCCTTGGGGGCCAAGGGGCTCTTACATTGATTGTCTGTACGTCCTATGCTTTAATTCATTATAATAGATTTGATTTGGGTTGGGTGAGGTCAAGTGCTTGAAGATTTGTATTTATTAATTTGTATTTGTTTAGAAGCGGGGGGGGGGGATTTGAGCCCCCTGAACCCCCCCCCCCCCAATCAGATTCGCTTCTGCCGTGATGACGAAAGCACGGAAGAAAAAGTATTGGAGCAGGAGCAAAAGCAAGATTTTGTTTGGAGATTTAGGTGATTTACCCTGACATATCACTCCAGCATCCTCCTCATGATCGCAGTTGTGCCACCCGTTTTTGTTCCGCGGACAGTCCTTGATTGAAAATTCGTCGCCTTCACACGCCACATTGTCCATGAAGATCTTTCCTGAGCCTTCACCGAAAGTCTCGGCCTCTACCGTAAAGTTAGAAGCTCCAAGGAAGCCCAACTGCCTGCACACTACATTAGCGTCCTCAAGCCCCCAAGAATCGTCGCATACTGTTCCCCATTCCCCGTTGGCATAGACCTCGACTCGTCCTTGATTGGCGGAGCTACCTGATCCGGCAAGTCGTACCTCTGAAAGGGATATTTGCATTGAATATATGAAATTAAATCATTCTGCAATGGTCATGAAAAACGGTTTATAATTGTTTTTAAAAGCATTGTTCAACAATGCCAATATCTGATATGCATGCATGGCCCTACGTGCTATCAGCGTCTGTAATGTGGTGTAATATTGAAACCCTAAAAAAATTGCGCTTCAAAATGATCTTGAAGTGCCTCCAAGAAGTAAAAATCTTTGAGTGGTTTTTTTTTGTTGTTGGACGGGGTGAGGCCTTGGGGGACAAGATGCTCTTACAGTGATTGTCTGTACGTCCTTTGCTTTAATTCTTTATAATCGATTTGATTTGGGTTGGGCGAGGTTGAGTGCTTGATGATTTGTATTTATTAATTTGTATTTGTTTAGAAGCGGGGGATTTGAGCCCCCTGAACCCCCCCCCCCCCCATCAGATTCGTTTCTGCCGTGATGACGAAACCAAGCACGGAAGAAGAAAAAATCGGAGCAGGACCAAAAGTAAGTTTTTTTTTTATAGATTTAGGTGATTTACCGTGACATACAACTCCAGCATCGCTCCGATGACCGCAGTTGTGGTTCCCGATTTCGTTCTGCGGACAGTCCATGATTGACGTTTCGTCGCCTACACACGCCACATTGTCCAGGTTGATCTGTCCTGAGCCTTCGCCGAAAGGCCATGCCATTGCCGTATATTCAGAAGCTCCAGGGAAGCCCAACTGCCTGCACACTACATTAGCGTCCTGTAGCCCCCAAAGATCGTCGCATACTGTTCCCCAATCCCCATTGGCATAGACCTCGAGTCGACCTTGACTGGAGGAGCTACCTTCGCCGGCAAGTCGCAATTCTGAAAGGGATATTTGAATTGAATATATGAAATAAAATAATTCTGCAATGGTCATTAAAAACGGTTTATAATTATGCTTAAAAGCATTGTTCAACAATGCCAATATCGAATATGCATGGCCCTACGTGTTATCAGCGTCTGTGAACAAAAAAATTGGCCCCACCCCCTATTGCTGCCGGCTGGATCCGCCCCAGGTCACAGATGGGTCGTTACTGTTACATTATATGGACAGATTGGATAGATGTGTAAATCATTGAAATTTTAACCAGTAGACGATGCAAACTTTCGGATACCAACCTGGTTCGTGCGTGAGATTTGGTTATTATTTTGGTGAGTCCAGAACGCAATAACGCAACTTTCACCGACTTTGCTCTACAAAACAAATCTGCCATATGTTAGAGGAAGAGATGATACGGTACTCGCTTGTATTATATTTTAAACAGAAATTGTATTTTCACCTATAAAATGTACTTATGAAAATAAATGTTCAACATCGCTACCCTCTACCTGATCGTAAATACTGTAGCCCCCCACTTTGATACACGTTCCACGTAACGGGGCCTGTGTATACATCATACACGCATAAAACACTGATCTTTATGATGCCTTTAACGTGACAAAGCTTCTTTTCCCCTTTCAAACGAGAAAGAAAACAAGGTCATTAAAAGGATTAAGCGACATAATGATTGTGATTCAAATTGATGCAAATATTTGTTTGAATAAGCACTGCTATTCACCAGAATCTTCTTAGTAAAAACAACTTTTACAAATCTCAGCCATGCTTACTGAGTTGAGACGTTCCATTCAATTTAAAATACTCATCAAAGAATACACTTCTCCTAATCTGAAAGTGATCTTACAGCACAGTGGCAGACAGAATTGCATGGCTGAGATTTGTAAAAGTCGTTTTCACAAAGAAGATTCTGGTGAAAAGCATTGCTTATTCAAAAAAAAATCTTTGCTTATTTGTCGCATGATCCTTTTATTAAACAAACTTTTTTTTGCCGGGTAGAAGAAGCTATGTCACCGTTAAGAAATCATAAAGATCAGGGTTTTTTTTTTCTTCTTTATAAAGATCAGTTGTATTATGCGTATAAACATATGAATACAGAACAAAATGTTGATTATCAGAATGTCATTTTGGAATACCTTGATAAAAAATACCCGATCTTACTGTGCCGATACCACATTGTCTTTAGCCCGTATCAGCAGCGCTCAAAATACACGGGGGCGGTGGGCGATTCGCCCCCGTGAGCTACATAATCGCCCCCGCCCCCCCCCCCCCCACTCAGTTTTATTTAGGGTACGCATATGCTCGTTCCCTCTTTTTGAAAGCACCCCCTATCTGAGGACTGCCAACATTTCCGACCCCCCCCCTTTCGCGGGCTTTTCCTGCCTTGGAGACCCCCCTAAATCAGGAAAAATGCTCAATGTACCCCCCTAAATTCGGAACAATTTCTCAGGAGTTCAAAGAGATGAGAGAAAAAAAGAAAAAACACCCCCTTTTAAAAGAAATCTCCGGGTGAAAAGTCAAATATACCCCTTTTTTTACAATTCTCGGGCCGGACTTTGTCGCACGAAAAGTACCCCTTTACCGGACATTTTGGCAACACGCATGCGGTCATTCCGACCCATGAGTGGGGGGGGGGGCCGGGAATCGCCCGCGTCAGGTTGCTCACGGGGGCGATTGCAAAATTAAAAATCGCCCCCGTGGAATTATAAAATAAAGATTATCTTTTCTGTTATAACTTTAACACAATATTGAGTTTCAATTTTCAAACCTTAAACCAATGAAATGGAACTTCGATAAGCGTGCAAAATTTCTCGTTTTATGAGTAGGCCTATTATTACCGATTCAGCTCGCAGTGCAGTGCCGCCGTCAGCAGTGGTTATAGGCCTACTGCACCGTTAGTAACAGTACGTGTGCACGCTGCCGCGCCATGTCTGCTGGAGCTGGAGGCGATCACGCAAGGGCAGAAACATGAAATGGAGAAGTTTTTCGTTGTGAAAGCGTTAACCCGCTGAAATCTGGTGATTTCAAATGACCAGCAAATAATGAACCTCGACCAGTAAATCAAAATTAGGGACTTTTAGATTTGCACGATGAGAACGTGGACTGCAACGTGTGACCTCCTTTTAAGGCAGTGCCAGTGCTTAAAAGGACGTCACATGTGACTGCCAGTGCCTTAAAAGGACGTAACACGTCCACGCAAATCTAAAAGTCCCTATTGAGAAGAAGAGGAAGACCAAGATGTCGTGGAATGATATGGTAACATGGGCAGATCTACGGGGGGTGGGGTTAGGGGGTTTAACCCCCTCCTCCCACCCCGGCCCCCTTGGGCTGCCAAGTAAAAATGTGATATTAAAGCGGGGGGGGGGGGGGATGCTGGAGAGGAGGACTACTAATCTATTTTATTTTTTTCAGGGGGGGGGGGGGTAAGTGAAGCGCCGTTTTTAGCACGACTTTCTTTTTAACTCTTACTTTCACCTATCTCAGATAACCCTAAGTTTTTGGTTGCTGCTTTATATGTAGTTGATAATGCATGATTAAAATAAAGAGAGAGAGAGAGAGAGAACCACCATCATTTTGCAATGGTTCAGGGTTCGTGTAATGTACATTTGAAACCATTTCTTAGCGTCTCAACCCTAAAAAATAGCGAAACTTTTTTTGAGGAAAAGCATTATACTGAACTGAATAAAGAATTATAACTTTATATTAGCTAATACAAATACTGATACGCAGGGCTCAAATTGATTTTTTGTCCACGGGGGCTCTTCCCCCCAAAAAAGAGCCCCCGTGAGCCTTCTCACGGGGGCTCTTTTAGTACTGGGGCTCTTTTTTATACAAATATCCATTGAATTGGTACCAATGATACTCCTCAATTATTTGCTATTTCATCATTATCATTTCAATCAGCATTTTCCCTCTTACAAATTTACAAGCTACATAGCTGTTACTGGCCTGTGTATAATATATACGCATACAACACTGATCTTTATGATGTCTTTAACGTGACATATCTTCTTCTCCCCTTGCAAACGAGAAAGAAAACAAGGTCATTAAAAGGGATTAAGCGACAAATAATGATTGTGATTCAAATTGATGCGAATATTCGTTTGAATAAGCACTGCTATTCACCCGAATCTTCTTTGTAAAAACAACTTTTACAAATCTTTTACAAATCCCCCGCTTATTTACCGGCCGGCTGAGTCGGCACAAAAATGTTCCCCAAAAACTGGACCCCCCAAAAAAAACATATGTGTTCTTACCCCCCCCCCCCCCCCCCCCCCCCCCTCATTCGCCGTTCGGTTGCCTGATTCACCGCTAAATATTTTCTAAAGATTTGCCCCCCCCCCCCCCTATTGTCGCCGGCTGGATCCGCCGCTGGATACAGGTAATTGTATAACAAAACTGTAACTTATTTCATAATGATTTATTCACTCCAGATACCCTCAAATATGGATTATCATCATTTATTTGGTATTTTTTGTTTCGGACGTTACATTTGTTTCGGACGTTACAACTGTTAACGGAAAATTGGTTTTAACTATAAAATAGTATTGTAATGATGTATTACAAATTTATTTTTTGGTGGGTAGCCGCCATGAAATGTTTAAAAAATGTTACGAAAGATAGGTCCTGCAGTTCATATATTTTCTGCTACTTCAAATTGAAAGTTGTTTCGGACGTTACAAAATTGTTTACGGAAAATGAGACAACTTTTTCAAATTTTGAATATATTTCTCATATAAGCGCTACTACAATAAAATTATATTTTCTTTTAATTTAATGACTTGGAGTAACTAATAAGCTTATTCAAACCATAAACAATCTCATTAATTGATTGTTCTAGTGGGTTAAATGAGGGTCTACATTGTTTACAGAAAATGTAACGTCCGAAACACCATTTTCAATTGCACTGTTCCATCAAAATACAAGAGTTAATTCAGATTACTGTTAACTTTCTTTAAGATCCACCCATGCTCATTAATCATCAATAGAAAAAAAACATATTGTTTGTGGGTATATATTTGTTTCGGCTCCAACCAAAGAGGTATGTCAATTTTGTTACAAAATTCCGTAAACAATTGGCTGTTCAGGGATACCTAATGCACATAAAGCAACGCTGAACATTTTTCGTTAAGCTATGGGAGGTTAACCTAGGTCCATGCTACAAGAAAAAGTTGTAACTAATTTCGAATTCTTTATCTTTGTAAAGTTTCAGGCTGTCAAAGGGTCATTTAGCTTTTTGGTCATAGTTAAAACAAACCAGTGCCACAAGTCCTTTCTCCGGGTGCGTTATTATTTAACTTCGGAAACAGAACGACACGTAAACTTTACTCAAGTGCCAATAACTCAAACAGAGAGTGCTATTGCTGAAATCTATTGTAATTATATGTTACTTGATAACGTACACATTGTAAGTTTCTCTTCGAATTTTTCAAATTTTGTAAAAGCTATGGTACTTTTGTTTTTAGCGCTCCTCAATAAGCGATAGTATGAGTAGTCGTAATAGTAGCGTTTCAAAGATTCAAATTCATTCAAAATGTTCTAGGTTAGTGCAAATCCCAAACTACTTATTTGTTATTCAATGATTTTTCTTAATGATTCTTAATGATACATTTAATGTAATAGATCATAGAGTTTTTAATGGGGCCAAACTTGACTAGTAACATAACAATGTCAACATTTATTGCATTAGCAATAAGATTACGAAGGACTTATTGATTTTAATTTTTAAACGGATCCATAACCTAGCAACACCATCTCTTTGTTCGAAAATAACTGTTAAGGAAAGTTCTTATTCATTACGCAACCACAAATGTATTCTTCACTTGGACACACCTCGGACAAGATTTCT